ATATCACGTTGTCTGTTATTCTTGTAAGCTTGGTTTGTTTAAGCTGGCTTTTGACGCTCCTTATATGCTTAAATTGTGAATATTTCGATGGAACCTTGATCAAGTATGCTCAAATGCCGGACGTTTTGCGAAGACGCAATCGAATTTACTCTCCAATTTCATGGCGTAATGCATTTCTAGTCAATGCCCTTCTGTAGGTTTCGGTGGAATGGTAGCCTTGATCTTCGTTGCGTTTGATATGTAGTTGCGACAGAATTACCACTAATTTGATGAGATTGGTCTGTTTGAAACAATAACTTTCTGGCTTATGATACGTAACATCAGATGAACGCTACATGAACGTAATCAAAGTCTAGATAGGTACTCTAAACAGAGCAAGGTGACTGTGTCAACAGTTAGTGCAAACACAAAACAGGTTGTAGCCTGCCCACAGTTTCAGTAGATGGTCACTGTTATCTGATATAAGACCAACAAGTGCCCACCAGTTGTCTAGATGACTATCGTCTGTTCCTAAACACCCAACCAGATCATTTAGGTCTCCGGATTACTATACACTATCTGTCGATCGCACTTTCTGTAGATCAGGTGACTAGTGGTAACAATCACCCTTGGTCGCATCCAGGCTACAATCGGTGGGAGCGTTGGTGAGGATGACGAAAAGACATCGATTTTGACTCAGTTTAGTGAAGCTTTTTTGTGGGACAACACGTAACCGACTGTTGATGGGGATCCAGCCGGTCAGTGCAACAGGGTCCCTGGATAAACGCCTGTGAAAATAGCCTTGTGAAGTGACAGATGGAGAGTGAATTTCCAGTACATCATCAGAGTCTTCAATACTGGTCTTGAGTAAACCACGCATGTAATAATGTATCCATACCAAGGTTGGACTCGATAGTTTCAAATAAACTGAACATTGGGTGGAGAGGTGATAACAAATATACTTTTGTTACTTATTTATATATGAGCTGAAAAATGAAACATACAAAATTAGAATAAATGGTGGTACTTCATTGTCGTAGTACAAAACAAATGAAAAAGAGGGTTATCAAATGACTGTGAATATGGTTTGCCAGAATAAAAGTTGAAAGAAGAATAATTCTCCCAGTGGTAATTATCAATGTGTTTGTGTTGGGATACGTTCTGGTTTCTGAAACCGAGACAGGTTATTATGATGGTCAATCACCGAGCCATCGGCTTCGAGGTCCGGTCCACATGACAGCGGAGCAACGTTGAGAGACGCAGTCACATGCTAGCCGGTGACTTACACTTGGTTCGTACGCCAATTTCTTCCTCAGGACTCTGAAGACCACATAAACTAATGGTCTAGAATCAAGGTTTTTCAACCGCGCAGGATGAATTCCATGTGTCTATCAATCCGGGTACGCAACCGAGTATTCGCTTTTCATTCTCTCAATTTCGTATACAACACCTTCGTCACAGTGTTGCAGGGAGTAAGAAATCTCTGGCAGTGGCTGCATACCCGTAGCCATGATAGAGCATTTCGAAAGAGAGAGATGGTTCTACTCAAGTTCATCTGTACAATTCCATTTAAGAGCATATTGAGTGTATGGGTACCCAGTAACTAATAGTCCAGGAAATATTTCCGCAACGACAGAAAAATGATGTGCCGATAGTGTGTGTTTGAATTGCTCATCAATCAATAATTTTGAAAAACCATGTCAAAGTAAAAAGAAGTAAGGTAAGTGAGGTAATTCGAATATGTTTCTAGAAGAGAGAGGAACATGTGTAAGGTGAAGCGAAAATTCATTAAACACGCATTCGACAATGTACTATTCGAAATACTTCCTCGATTTTCACTGAAATCAATACATGTTTACGTGGAACTATATTCTGGTGAGATAAATGATTAAATGATTTTATCGCTTGAAAATTGTGTTGGTTAAACCTCTTCTTTAACAACCTAGCTCAAACTGGTGAGATTTTACTGACACATTTTAACGTTGCAATCAATAACATTTATATTTTCGTCGTGTAGCTATGCACAAGACTATTATGGATTTCAGAATAAATCACTGCACTAGTACATGTATGATGGATTACGGTGAGACACTAACTAGATCACATCATATGAGTAAGCAGATTGAACGACCTTTAGCTAATCATCTGAGAATGAGATCACACGTACTCATATGATGTGATTGACGGTGAGCTTGAACTAATGATCAAATTTATGTTCACTCAAAATATCACAATGTTGAATGGTGAAAGTACAAGTTGTGATTGTGCGGATCGGCAAAGTAGGCCGAGCACATCTACAATTGAAGAACATATTGAACTCACAACGACTGTCAAGTCAAGTATCATTGCTAAGGTTTAACTTCAAATGGAAACAAACAGCATAAGAATGAACAGCATTGGATAGAACTAGAATGGGAGGCTTTGGACAGAGTGTGCTGGAGAATGCTTATTGATGGTTCGTGCTTAATTTAGGGTTGCAGAATTATTAAGTTAAGTGGGCATTATAAGAAAGTCATCACATGACTAATGACAACAACTACACTCATCATCACTGACATATAAGTTAGTCAGTAATAGATATGAGAAATCTTGTCTCACTATCGGCCGTTAGGTACTCACGTATTATGCTCATTTATATGAGTGAAGTCATTTTAATTGAATTGTGCGATGTTTTATTTGTTTGAGTATTCACTACGAAGATTTGGAAAGCTTATTCTGATCCATTCAACCGAAATAGTCTAAATGAATCATTACATTTAAAGCAGAATTATCATCTAACAAATCGAGGGGTGAGTATACATCATGTTGAAGAGACAAGTTGTGTCATCTGCAATAAAATGTTTAATATTTTCAGATCACCTTAAGATTTATCTGATTTGTTTGACAGTTCATACATACTGCATCCACTCTAATGAACTGCTTAGTTTGAGAAACAACAATGATGACTTGGACAGATATGACTGTTTCCTTAATTCAACACGCTGATGAAGTATATTCAGATCATTAACGTCTAGTTAACACCATATTGATTCGTCTTCTGTAAACTAAATTAAGAACTTGGAGAATATGTCTGTTGAAATGGATGGCGATTTCATACCGAGATTTTGTGTCATCAACCTCACCATTCCTTCACGATTTCGATGTACCAAATGATTATATTTCCCATTATTACATTTTACTTCACTCTTATTCACCGAAATGATTTATCTTAGTTGTTTGTCAGATATTTCATTTTATTATTGTTATTTATGCCGACTAGCGATTTCATTATATATAGGTAAGTGACAAGATTACAACGGATCAAAGTGAGTCCTACTCAGTTTATCGTCACAATTCATCTTTTGGTAGAGTGTTATGTACAATTTATACCTGTGTTAATTTAATGTTGGTTAGTAATACACTCTAAAGTGCCGCGTCACATTATTTCGCGAAACGACAGAAATACAATTCTTCCACTCATTCAGATATAACAGTAAACCTGATAAATTTATGATCAACTCTCTATACAATGCTCAACTTATTTCAAACATTCAAGTGCAAGGTTGATATTGATACATGTTAACTACTGAAGTTCCATATTTCCTTTCTATTGCTCTCTCCTTATACAATTCAAAGACGTGAACTATTCAAAAATGTTCATGATAGTTTGAAATAGTACTGGTGACTGTGGTGTAATGTACGAATTATTAGTAATTTCCACATCTATTCAGTGCATACCCTAGTGAACATGAATTCACCACCACACACTCAAATGATTGATTATACTGTGAACATAGAGTAATGTGTTGTATTCAAATTAGAATCATGAACGCATTCATGTGAACAACACTCATCGTTCTGTACCAAAATCACAAACTGTCACTGGATCATAAATATAAATATTATATTTGTAAAATCCCAATGAGTAGAAAATTGGATTTTCTGGATCAATAGAAACATTGGATTTGTCTTCATATTTCTTAATGCCATTTCTCAAAATGGAAGAAAATCGGCTTGAACACTGGATTCAGTTTCAAATCACTTCATTCCCTAACATTTTATTCACATGGTGATTTTCATCAGTTAAACTGTGGATTTCGCTCGAAGTGATTGCTATTAAGATACACTGGTGTGCGGAGAGTTCATTTGTCCGACATTCCGATGTCTTTCAGTAAATTTTGTAGACGAACCTACTAATACATATTGGAGAAGCTCATGATAAATTGCTTGAGTATTTCAACAAACTAGTGACACCAATCTGTACAAACAAAACCATAGAGTTCATCCTCATTCATAAATCGTATCATTGGTAATCACTACATGGCAAACTGACTGAAGACAATCATGCGAACATTCGGATATGGGATCAGAATGGTAGAGGTTGAATGCTATCCACAAAATCCGACAGTCGATCGTCTAACCATTGGTGAGCTTTTCGATGCACGCCTCTGAGGAGTCACATAATTCGACGCAACAGCAGTCAAACGCATCCCAGTTTCAAATGAATGTTAAACTCAAAACAGTCTGTAATGTGGAGTCCGAGAAAATAACGATTGTTGTCCTTAATATTCTTTAACCAGATCTCAAGATAATCTTATCCTTTATCTGAAAACTGTTCATTCATCTACTTGTGTGTATGTGTACGTGCATTTATTAGTTGCATTAAGATTACTATTGGTGTTATTTCTCAATTCTCTCATGCATTAATGTGTCACACGTCCACTGTATATAATCCGCTGAACTTTGTATTCAACTCTGAACAGCCATTATCAAGCTGATCGTATTCAGGATGAGGTGATTGGCTGAAACTCACAATCTCATTGTGAAATAAGAGTATAAAAGCGAACGTGTATGTGATCGGATGAAGTGGCAAAATAATCTATTCCACAGGTGAGTAATTCGAAGATTCAGTACTCAATTGACTTTTCATTGCACTTTTGAGATTTACCTCTAAACAATGGATTCACACTGATGTCAGTAATAGAAACAGTTGAACATAAGAATATGAAATCAGTATTCGATGAATCATTATGACATGAACAATCTCTACATGTATCTAGCAAATATTCTGTGAGTAGTAAATCTACTTTCAATGTTCGTGATGATGCTTTTTCAAGGAAATTGTCAGAGATTCACCCTATGCATCACACAAACTCCAGTCAGTATTCATCGCGTTAAGGAGAAACCTAATTTTCCCAATCAACATAGAGTGGACAGTGAAATAGTTAAATAACACAAATGATGTGACCGTTGATTCTGTTCACTCATATACAAGGAACTTACAATAAACATTAAATGTTTTTCTTGAAGTGATTTATAGCAACTATGTGAGAATTAGTTGATTCTGTACCCGATCGCGTCTATGTATAACTCTTATCAATCCGCCATAGCGCACGAACATCTCACACTAAACTCATAATACATTGTCAACAGAACTTTAATTAAAATTATACTTTGCCCTGCAGATAAATAGTTCAACTGAATTCCAGACTGTTTCACCTCAGAATGTCAGTTAGAAATAACTCGGTTGCTGTTTTAATACTTACAACTCTATTGCTCAATACTTGCAACGCTACGGATGAATACTCACCACAAACGGATGCGACTCAATCATTCCCTATTAGCGATAGCATCATGACATCTGATTTCAATCGCAATTCAAAACCAATAACCCTCATGCAGCGAAGTGATTCGGGCAATTTAACCCTGTTCAACTTCTCGGCACATGGAACATCTCTGTTTGAAGTATCAGATACATTTCGAGTTGAAGGACGGTCTATAGCTGCACTCGTACCACATACTGCTTATGTAAATTTTATTTATAGATATAATTTGACTAACACCATGTTTAGAATAACCAGTCGGCAATATTATGCTATGAAATCAATCCACAACCAGATGGATCAGGATTCGCTGGTTTCCACCACAAATTTAATTACTGGAACTTTTCAAACTATACTGGTGTTATCATTGAAATACGTACACGTAAAAGAAATCCCAATATGAAATTGATCTTCTATGGAAACTGTTCGGAAATCCACACTTGTCAATCGTATGAGTCGTTTTTCGAGGTAATGTTGTGTTCAAGTGTGTAGAATAATTCAATGTGTTTTCTATGAAATGCTTATAGGCATCTGGAGAACGAGAGCAAATAAAACTGCCATTTAGTACATTCAAACCATACTTTCGTGGAGAACCGAAACCCGATTCACCGCCTCTAGATTTAACTCAACTCTCCCGCATCGGTATACAGGTATATGGCAGCATCGTTGAACCTGATAAGCAACGTGATAAAGAGTTTATCAAAATATTCTCGATAATAGCATATAAGGAAGATCAAATGCCAGTTTGAACAAACCAAGCTTAAAAGAATCATAGACAAGTTGACATGTAGTGCTTATTGATACTATGATTATTTTAGTTTGTATTAACTAGTTTTACCAATAAATACCACACATTTACCTGCGAGTTTTGAATGTATCCATGGGTTTCTTAGCATTCACATGAACATCATAGAGGGTGAACAGTGATACATCGAATAATGTTTCAAACCAATTGAAGAATTTTTAAAAACACGGAGATCAGCGAAGAGATCTCTTCTCACCGAACTTATTATCAAGCTGTACAGTCGTACCTGTTTATCTATATGTATATATGAAGTTCATTATTCTTAAAGTTGTGGTTTCGTGAGGACATCCTAAAAAGGAATAATCATGATGATGTACTCGAAATACTATATAACTAGATTGTTTATTGTGAATCATAACAACAGACATAATACATTGTATGTGAAAATTATATTTGAAATATTCGCAGCGATTGAAATGTAACTACTTCTAACGTTTCGTCCAGCTAACTTGTCTGGACATCTTCAGGGTAATAATTAGTGAAAGTCAAGGACAAATTAGCAAAGGAAGAACAACAGAACATTGTGTATGAGATTCACTGTCATGACTGTAATGCTACCTTTGTAGCATACTGTGTACTAAGAGTGATGTGTTGTATTCAAATAAGAATCATGAATGCATTCATGTGAACACCACTCATCGTTCTGTAACAAAATCACAAACTGTCACTGGATCATAAATAAAATAATTATATTTGTAATATCCCAATGAGTAGTAACATAATTGGAATGTTGCCAACAGTTTGAGAATAAAGGATATAATTACAGAATTACTTTAACTAGAATTAATGACGAGAGGTAACAGGAATTGTACCGTTCAACAGAAATGACTACAATTAAAATATCAGTAACATCTCGAATGATCATCCTTGATTCACATGTGACAATTTGAAGTGATGCTCTCTGCTCGAAAAGTCTGACCACGTTATTTGGAATACTAATTTGAACAAAGGGTTGTAGAACCTGAAGGGAATTCTCTGAGAAGAATATTCATCACTCAAATGAATGTGTTATAAAAGGTTCTCGTTACAATAACTGAAGGTAATTTAATGTAATGGGGTGTGTGAAATAAATGAAGCGATATCATGAGCAACTATGAATAAAATAAAGGAAATATGAGACATACGTAATTGGGGAAATACAGCATTGATAATTATAACAGATTAAGGTCAGGGTATTGAAAAGCAAATGACATACGTGTTTGTACTCACGTTTCATCCTTGAGCTGATGGGTGGTGAGATCTTCGGCTATTTTCTGGGGTTGGATGCGAAGAAATGTAAGTAGATTTAGACGAATCGTATAAACAACCCTAAAATGAAACTGAGAATCAGCAGAATGATTCAAATCTATTAGATGTTCAAGTTTGTGAATGGGATAGTCTTTCCTCTAATAGTTGTACACTGTCAAATGTTCCTGTGTCTCGGTTAAAAGCGAGCGCTAGCTATGGCCAACGTGCTTTGCTACACGATAGCATGTGATATGACATTGCTGCTGTTGGTCTCATTAATACGATGTGTTAACTTGAATCTCCACCTTAACTTTCTCAATCGACTTTTATTTGTGTAAACCCATTATTCTAATGGTCCTCTGATTATTGCTCACATGTATCATCGTAATGTTATACTGATTACTTCTCATAACATACTAGGTCAATCGATAGTAAAAACTGGTCGTCTTTATTAACTAATTAGCTTTGATGGTTCGTTAGCAAGCTTTAGTAGCATTTACATGCTTCAGCGACATAGTCTTGTTTAAACATCGAGCTCAAGCAAATGTGACCTGTGAATAACATAAATATACATTGACTAACAATGCAATCATGGACTAAATAGTTATCTGGATCTAATTCTCATTGTTCCTTCACTTAACACCTCATCCTGTTTTAAACTACGCACTATCCTGTAATATCTTTTCTTTCGACCACTGCCTGCCCAATTTCATATTTCGAGTTCCATTGCCAAACAACAAGGATGACAGAAACATACGGTCATTTTAGATGGCTCTTTCAATGGCAAACACACAATTATCTGGATTCATTTGATTATTCTGATCCAAGCGAGTGGCAAAAACGCCAACAGCATCAAGCACCCTGGAATTAATTGCCATACTGCATGTTTCATTCTGGATGATTTTGGATCATTACTACTACTCACGAATGGCGTTATATATGTCGTCCACTGAATAATCTACTTTTCAAAAATAACCCAGGCGAGTTCAACTATTTTACTGGATGATCTTTTTGTACTTAACATGTATGTATTTTCCAGTTGCTTTTGCCACATATTTGTAAGTGTCCCTAGGCTAAATGCACTAACTTCTTATGGAATGTTTATAACGTGTCATATTCCTGCCTGAAGTTTCATAAGCAGTCTTAACTTAGAAATTGTTTTCTGGTGATGTTCATTATTTTTAAATTGTCATATACGTCAACAACCTGCATGTTAACCTGGCCCGTAAATACGTTGCACTATATCCTCATGTCTTCTAAATTTAAAAATCATCTGAATCGCCTTTCACATTTATCAATAAACCCATCATAGTCGTTGTCGCCTGTCGTATTTGGGTTTATGGATTGATTTGTCATATTAGCAGCCTAAAATGCGAACATAGTTTAGATAATAAGATTACAAATTTAGGGACTATCAACTGCACTAGTAAAATAACCAAATTCTCAGGCAGTTTTTGGCTAAACAAATGTTTAACATCAAAACCCTGAAGCCTACTAAAATTAACGCTAGACGAATATCCTCGAATTGAAATTTATTATATAATAAGGTAGCTCTGATTCTTTGACGCTACAAATTTCTGATAATTTTGAATCAGCTAAAGCAACAATACCTATTTTCCCACTGACTCATCCTCATTCAACACTATAACTAGTTAAACGTAATAGTTTCAGGATATCGTCATAAAGCATTGTCATGACTTGACAATCACGTAATATGATTGATAAAATTAATGAAACTATTAACAAAATCGGTCAGCAAATTGACTTATAATTATCACTAGTGTTGTTTTTCTTTTATCTTCACTCACTACAGATGATTACAGTATGTTTCTCTATCAGTTGCTCATTCAGTAAATATCTCAAAACCTTGTCAGTGTAATTGATGGTTTAGCGACACAATCATGCATGCAAATAATCAGTATAAGCAGTCGAGCAAATCTCCTGCAAACTGAAAACATCAATGTCGAATTTACCCTAACACTGACTAAGGTTCAAGCCATTATCATAGACATGAGTTGGGAGTGTACTCCCCTTGGTTACAACTTATGTTCTCCCTGATTATCACATGAGCATCACTCGCGGTTAATCATCTTGTAAAAACTTATTTAGCCGAATACATCTTGCAGCACATCACCTAGTAATGTCACACAAAAGCTTAACTGATTTCAATAACTTGTAATCACTGTATGTCAATTAAATCGTATTCAGCCTTATGATAAACTGCATACTTGCAACTAACTTGTATGCACCATCAACCAGTAGGTATAAATATAAATAAGTAGTAAATGGCAGATCAGAACATTGAGTCTAAACCATTTCTCATACGAATGCAGTCATCTTTAGCGAATCGCTCTTAGTTATCTGTCCAAAATTCATATAATTATCACTCACGTATGTAAATTTTGTTTTGATAACCATTCATGTGTATTGGTAGTATATTAAATTCTATCACGGCCAAATAAAAATAAGGTTGAGAAAATCTCCCTGTAACTAGATAAACCATATCAAACAGTCTTCCAAAACGCGTACAGAGGGTTATTAGCATTATCCATTCGGGAAGCTAAAGGCTGGAATTCTAGAACATTCTTCCGAAAGGTGATTGGGTGGAACGTCTTCGGCTACTTCTGAGCCTCTTACAGCTTCCTCGAGTTCACCGGTGGTCCCGTCGTCAAAATAATTTGAACCAAAACTAATACCAATATTGACATTTCTACAATATTCATTACTTTAATATTTCTATACACAAAATACTATCTACTTATACGTTAAGTTATTAACCAACGGATAGTAACACGCATCATTTTATTATTATTATTGTAACCCCGTTTTTATAGCTGAAATAATCTTCACCCAAATTATCATTTTAAGCGTGTTAAGTATGAAGGCAGATATTTTAAAATTATTACATGTGTTTCCCGACCATATGCCGCTGTCTTCCTTTTTGATTTATCTTTCAGCTTATCACTACCCGAGGGATGCTTACTAGTCGTGGAAACGTTCGACGCACGACAATCCCATCCAATTCGGCATCGAATCAACACCACGTTGATTCTGGTGGGAGAGTAATGTAGTGGCATTGGACCATAACCACACAATCCACAAAGATGAACGCGAGACTACTGAGAAAATAGATATTCAATATTTAACGCGGAGAAATACGTAACGATGGAGAA